ACCTGTCAACTGTCACTTTTTTATGACGTTTTGAAAATTTCTTTATTACTTTAGTCTAAGACATTTACAACCCTTACAAAAGCTATACATAATTAATTTTTCGTAAAATATAATTCAAAAATTGAAAGCGTCAGAACTGGCTTTGTCAAACTTGGCAACGCTGATTAAATAACCCAATTACAGGAGAGGGATTTTTCCACTCGGGGAGAGTAGATGTTGCTAAGAAAATTTATCGTGGGAAAGGCTTCGAGCATATATTACTAGAGCCATCGTCCAAATGGGCTTTGTTTTGGTACAGGGGGGAAAATAGTGTCCAGCATTCCCATTGATCTGTTTCGTTTTGCTTGGCATGTCAAATCGTTCGAAATTGTCAGAACTGTCATTTGATTTTTGATATTTATTAATTTCTAGCTTATTTTTATAGTTTATAAGTGATTTTTTGTATTTTATTACTTTAGCGATACAAATTTTAAGAATGGTAAGAGTTTGTGTAAGTTTTAAATAGAAATACGAAAAGGCATCGCCAAGGTCATTTTACAAGTAAGTAACCATTAGCGTCTCTACCATTTTTTTAAAAGAAACATAAGTACCTACATTTTATGATAAAGGCCGTTAAACATGAATTTAAAATAAATGGTAAATTTAGTGAATTAACTTTAAAGAACTTGTATTATGTATGAGGAATATTGTTTTAGATTTGGGAATCTACTTAAAAGTTAAAAAAAAAATAATCATAATTTTTCAATATAAACAAGCTTTTCGTTTTAAAGTAATTTTATTATGATAATGTTAAAGATGTTAAATCAATAATTTTTGTTTTTTTGTAGGTTTCGAACTAATCCTGCCGAAAAACGCATTAAGTGAAACATATTGAAACCAGAAAACATTTCAAATAATGATGTTTTATGTTCATTTTTCTGGATATATATTTATGTCAAAAACTGGATGCGGAGGAAGAACTAGATTAATTCCAGGTGCATTGCCATCAGGGTTTACTGAGGCCCCAGAAGAAGATGAATAGAAAAGGTAAAGAACCCTGCACTTTTCTTGTGGGTTAGTCGTTCAAATTTTTTAATTTTTCAGTGATGATCTGAACCATGAAGCCTCTGTTGCAGAAAAAGAAAATGCAGAATTAGAAAACATATAAGTACTTTTAAATACAACATACATTTTATTTTTAAATACTTACCTATTATTACCTATATTTTTTATAAACCACAAAAATTGACAATAATTATTTTTTATTAAATATACCTATGTTTTTTAATTAAGTAGACTGCTAGTTGTTAAGAAATAAGCAAAGCCTAATGTGAGTTTTTCAATAAAAAAGTAATTTTAAGCTTCTTTTATTCGTACTTCTAGTCATTAAGAAATAATCGAAGCATAATACAGTTTCCCAATAAAAATTAGGTTTCACTTCACTTTATCTGTTAACGACTGGCAGTTCAAATGTACCTAAGTATTAGCTTGAGTTCTATTTGTAGTATATTATTCAGTAATCTATTGAAAATAAATTATTAAAAAAAATATTTTATTGTTATTCTTGTACACATAGATATCATAAATATTGTGTACAATATACCTACTATTTATTTATATATTTTATTTTTAAATATAAGCTCTTTATCTTTTTTATTGCCTATTATTTCAACCTTCATTTTTCCGTTATACACTTTCTGATGTTTGAAAAAAAAATCTGATATATCCAACACAAATAATAATAATAATAATAATAATAATAATAATAATAATAAATAATAATAATAATTTACTATTACTAGATACCTACTTAAATAATGCAAGTTTATAAAATATGTGCATAATTTAAAGTATTTTAAAGGTGTGTATCAAATTTAATAATTGTATTAATTAAATTATATTTATTACAAACCTCGTAAAAATGATGCGACACTGAAAATAGTGTCTACCTATTTCCCCGCATAACCCAAACAAACTCTGTTGAATGTGGACTCTATGAAATATATATGCTCGAAGGGGAAAGGGGGAAATCTCCCTCTAGTAGTAATTGCTCGGAAGCTAGTTCCACCACAGAGATACTTTTAGAAAACGTAACTATTCACAGTATACCTAGCTCTGTGGTGTACTGTGAAAAGTTACGCTTTCTCAGAGTATTACTGTGGTGGAACTAGCTTTATGTTTCTTTTCTGTGATTTGACGGTCCTAATAATACAACACAATCTTAAACTAGTCATTCAAAATGAACCTCTTAAATCATGTGCCAAAAATTTAGGCATTATTTATGAATGGATAAGGTTTCAGGACTAACTTTCGCTTTTAGTCAAAACATTGTATTCTAAAGTCTTTTATTGGCCATCCTAAATTATGGACTTTTGATTTACTATCCTTGTATGAATAAAACAATCAAATATAGGCTTTAAAAAATGAACTCATTAGACCGACTTAGATGGGTTCATTCATATATTTTTCGCACCTGCAGCGGTATTCTTGACATCCTTCGCAAATACACGTATACTCAATATTGCGAAGGGTTCATTTACGCATGCTTTCCTAAAATGAGATTCTTGCACATACTTTGATTACTATACGAGGCAAGAGAGAGGTCCGACACGCCCAACATAGGGCGCGGCCATTTTGAACCCTGTGACACAGTTTACAGCTAAAGAATCAGATCGCTCACTCTGCGTCGGCACTTTTGATCTCAATGTTTCAGTTTATACACTATGCAACTCGGATAATACAATATATGACAACCGCCTATAATAAAACAGCAGTCTTCTGCGTATCCTGAATTTGTATTTCTGGAGTGGATATTATTTTGGAACTTTCAACTGGTCCGAGTGAGCTAACTGATTCTTTAGCAATAAACTGTGACTTCAAAAATAATATTCACTGACACTGACAGCAGCAAGCAAAATATCAGGTGCGTTTTAATCATCCACTTCTGCTTCCGGAATTGTCGGTTTAGTCGTTTTAACCTGTCAGATTAAAACAAGAAAACCGACAATTCCGAAGCAGAAGCGAATGATTAAAACGCACCTATTAAAAATATTGCGCCAAGATGTAGGCAACACGTAATAAGGGTTCAAAATGGCGGAGTTTTCTATCTCCTTTTAAAAGGCACTCAGAAAGCTGCGCAGTGCGACCATTCTCCGTATAGTAAGAGAAAATCAAAGTATGTGGATTCTTGAGATCCCTTCGCAATTACTTGCGAATGTTCTACATTATCACTTTGGCAACGTTGCAATTATATTAAAATGACACGCTGAATGACAGCACGATACAAATATTTTGTATCATGGAATGACAGTTTTCATTATCTGACTGCATTTAGCTCATTAAAATTTCTTGGGAAATTTGTTAAAAATAATCTGATTCATTTAAAGCATTGCTGATTTCTTCAGGGCATCGGTACACTGATGCCCGGGAAACTGATATAAATAAACTTCTACCAATGTCCATGTTACAGCTTCCTGGTGCAAAAAAACCCTAAAGCTACTAAAACCTACCAAATCAGAAACCTACTATTAACTAAATAAATGAAATATGTTAAGTTATATTTAATCTGAGGTCTCATATAGGGCGAGCGTGTATTATTAAAAATCGACACAATTCTTTTGCAATTCTAAATTTTTGCACAAGCTCATGTTCACTTAAAATATAAAATTAATTATTATTCAGGAACGAATTATGTGTCTGCAGTGGTATAACCATGGTATAATCGCATCTTCAACGTTTTTAGTAAGTCTAATACAAGTATCCATTCAAAAAATAGATCACTAAACACATATGACACAAGTCAATTCATTAAACGCACACGCAAGTAGTTTGCGATTGATAATACCCACACGCAGTTTTATGCGAGTACTCGAATTTGTTGCGTATAATCAAGAATACACAATTTGCTATTTCATTCGTAATGTCAGACTTTACGAGTGACCATGAAATTTGCGAGTGGTCAAGAATAGGGCTGGGCGGCTATCCTCGACAATCGCTAAAAAAACGAACCGTTTTCGAAAGTGAGTGGTTAAAAAGCGAGTAGTTTTTGAAATCTATATTCTTGACTGACGTTCGATGAGTATTCGTTTTTTAAGACGTGTACGTTTTTAACAAGCAAATAATATGTCTGGCATCACTGTAAACTGTCTATATCGTTGAATTCAAGTAATGTGCAGGCCATAAAAGAATAAGGATTATGTAATTTAATTACAACAAACCAATTGTAAATTTGTCGAACGATGATTTTTTCTAATCACATAATATATATCGATGTTCAGGATAATCTGAATCGTTAATTGTTGGCGTAAAAATAGCTATACGGGTGCAGTTAATGCAACCTATAATTCTAGGAAAATCGTAAGTTATAAAAACCTAGTTTTTATGGTAAAAAATTCATTTAACTAATAACTTTGCTTATCTTATTTAGTTCTTTAATATTTTGTGGCAATTTTACAAAATTGTAAAAATTTCTGGACACAACGTGTGATACAGAAGAGCTTTGAACCGCAATCAAATTAACATTTGTAAATAAAACATACATGAATTAATAATTAAATTCTTACACGGTAAGATATAAAAAATATTCATTCAATATCAGTTAAAATCAAAAACTGGATTCTGCCTCTGCAAGTCTGAATCTTTAAGGATTCTTATCTTCTAAGTTTTCTAATTGTACAATTATTGATAATATAATTGAAAGAAATTCTCAGCTAATGGACTTCTTTAGTACTACAAACCATATTTATAAGAAATTAGATACTTTTGTAGGTATTAATAAAAAGTAGTTTACCTAGAATTTGTTAAAATCAATCAATATTGTTAATCGTCCTAAAAGTGACATATAAGTGACATTGACTAAATCCTTGAAAACATGCACGTTTTATCAAAAACGTGTGAAAAATTCCGCTCGCTGTAAAACACCCGTTTTAAAAGCGTACACGCTTTTAAAACGAATGTCGAGAATAGCGAATAGCTCGTATGTTGCTAAAGCGTATACGTTTTTTAGAAAACGATAGCCGAGGATAGGGCCCCTGCCTGGATGTGGCCTATGGATTACAAATCTCGGTAATCTTTGCCCAGGTTCTAAGTTCTAACACATCTGATTAATCCAAATAAATATTTTTTATGTCACTGTAACACACAGTCTCTACCATTTAATCAACCTTTGCCTCTAAGCACAATTTTTGACTTTAATCCGCTTACTTGATTGATCAAGAACCGATGACACATTTCCTTATCATAACTTCAACTGTGGCAAGTGTCAAATGTAATTTTAATTTTTTTTGTCTATAAAAAATTCTCCCTCATAACGGTGTCCAAAATCATCTGCGAAATCATCTGAAATGTTAATGAAATGAAAATGATGCGCTCACTCAGTTTTCACCTTTTAACAGAACCGAAATTTGGCAGGTCTAAGCGAATCAAAATTTGGGCGAATGGCGACAGTCAATGTTATGAATTCAATATCAATCCTAGGAATTATCGCAGGTGAGAAGATTTATTTTTTTATGTAACTATTTTATACAATTATACATCTATATATGTTCATTATAAAAATAATGTAAGGAGAATTAACTGATAAAAATCTGAATTAAAATCATCAAAAATACATAAATATATCTCTAGGTGCCTGTAAACGTAACGGACACACGAATTTCGAAAAAATTTTTTGACTAAAAAATGGTACTAACTGTAGGTACATATGAAATATCAAAAAAAAAAAAAATTGTGGGTTACGCAAAAATAACAGAAATTTGAGTTATAACCTGCAGATTTTGGTGTTTCTAACCTAAGATTTTTTTAATTTTCGTGTAATGTTTGTGCATGGTTACCAAGAATTTCAATTTTTAACAAAACCCAGATTAATAATTGACAGAATCGATTAGGTATTTTTATGAATCGAATACTTACATGTTTGATTTTACTGTCTGCTTTAATCTCATCTCACGCAATTATAGTTATATTTGGTAACTATTGCGAAGACGCCCTTTTCTTAAAAATACAAATTTTTTTACGAAACTTACATTTTAGGCTTTAAAAAGGAGCGTATTTTTAAAATATACCACCGAAAACTCCATAATTTAACGTTTTTAAAAAAAAATTGCATATTAAAGGCTTACGAGGATCATTAACTGATCAATTATGTAAACTTATTCATTAGAATTTAGAATTATATCTGTCATGTTCTCAATTCAAATATTCGCGGTGTTGCCAAGTGTAACTAAAATCAACGAAAAAGAATTTACCCTATTTTTTAAATAGCATTTCCTTAATTTATTTTCAGTCACATCTGACGATTTATTTAACCATTTTGATTGAATTGTTGTGGTACATAATAATTAAATAATAATATTACATCATCTATAAAGTAATAAACAAGTACTTTTCGAAAATTTTTAAACACAATTTTATTATCACTTTATATTAGGCATTCCAAACAAAATGGCTACCCGTTTAAAATGACAGGCCACTGACAGGTTATAATAATATGGCAGCACTGTGGGCCTGTTGATTGATAGGATCAATGCTATAGACAGTTATATAGATTGATCATCCATGTATTTCAAAATAAACATATGCTTATACCTTAAAGTAAAAATGTAGGAAATTAAACTTTGAATATATTTTAAGGTTAGAAATTGGTTTTAAAACAAATTTTTCCTAAATCGATTCAAATTAATGGAGACATTCTAGGCAATATGGCCGCTCGCAAACAACACGCTTTAAGCAATCTACATAACTATATATGTATCATCGACTCCGTCAATGCCAACAGGCCCACAGGGTTGCCATATCTAAACTTTGATTTATTTTATACATTTTTTATCCAAAGTTCTTTTTGTAAACCTATCATAATTTAAAAAAATTTAAAAGTTTCTTGACACACCTACGCCATAAAAGCACGCCCGTCTTCCTACGTCCTAACTTCTTAGAAGCGATCGTGTTTGGTTAATGTTTCGAAATTCGCAAATTACACCGTAAGAGCACGCTTCGCTGCTGGTACCGCCCACTCACCTGCTAACCACTAAAGGAGCAAGCGAGCGAAGCGAGCGCGCCCGGCCGGCATTTCAAAATTGCACCTATACCATAAGAGCACGAGTCGCTCGTCCTACCCACTTCCTAACTACTACAGAAGCAAGCGAGCGAAGCGAGTGCGCCCGGCCGACGTTTATAAATTCGCGCGAGTTTGAGAATTTCGAAACGTCGGCCGGGCGCGCCATTTTTACACCTACACCATAAAAGCACGGAATGCTCTTCCCATCCACTTCCTAACCATTACAGAAGAAACCGAGCGAAGCAATTGCCCCCGGCCAACATTTTGAAATTCGCGCGGCAAAACGTCGACCGTGCGCGCTTTTTCCATCTGATCATCCTACGTGTGTCCTGACAAGTACAGTAGAGATCAAGCGAGGTAAACACGCCCTGTTTACATCTAAAACATTTTATGCTTACGCATGCGCAGTTGATAATACGAGTATATAATGAGTTTTCATTTCAATTTGAGCTGTGTCCAGGCTGTTGAAGTCCATGCTGGTCGGCGTAGCCAGGTATGGGTTGGTAATTTCTGGTGACAGCGAAGCCGCCACCCAACGAGAAATCGTTGCTATGTCTTCTTGTGAATATTCACGGGCTGGCATGCGCATGGAATGTGTCACTAGAATACCACTCTGTCTTTTGTAGTGGTTAGGAGGTGAGTGAGACAAGCGTGTAAATGGAAAAAAAAGCGCGCCCGGCCGACGTTACGAAATTCGCGCGAATTTCGAAACGTCGGCCGGGCGCGCTTGCTTCGCTCACTTGCTTCTGTAGTAGTTCGGAAGTGGGTAGGACGAGCGACTTGTGCTCTTATGGTACAGGTGAATAAAGGGCGCGCTCGGCCGATGTTTCGAAATTCGCGCAAATTTCGAAATGCCGGCCGGGCGCGCTCGCTTCGCTCGCTTGCTTCTGTAGTAGTTAGGAAGTGGGTAGGACGAGCAATTCGTGCTCTTATGGTACATATGCAAAAAGGGCGTGCCCAGCCGACGTTTCAGCATGACACTTGTTTCAAACTTTTGAATTACACAAAGTAATAATTATTATGTTTAAAAGTTTTCAAAAATTACATTGTTTATTACTTTATAGATGACATAGTGTTAATATATTTTAATTATTTTGTACTACAACAATTCAATCAAACAGGATAAATAAATCGTCGGATATGACTGGAAATAAATTAATAGAAGGGCTATTTAAAGTGTTTAAAAATGTTATGTCAAAAATAAGGTACTTTTTTATATTTCTATTCCGTTGATTTTAATTAGATACTTGGTAACATCAAGCATATTTGTATTGGCAGAGCATGACAGATATAATTCTAAATTCTAAAAAATAAGCTTACATATATGATCACTTAATGATCCTCATAACTCTTAATATGTAAAGAAATTAAAAAAAAAAACTTAATTTATGGAGTTTCCTGGGTGCCTTTAAACGTAACATACACACAAATTTCAAAAACTGTATATATGAAATAACAAAAAAAAATTTGCTGTTTACGCATAAATAACAGAGAAATTTGAGTTTTAACCTGCAGATTTTGGTATTTCTAACCTAAGATTTTTTCAATTTTCGTGTAATGTATGTGCATGGTTACCATATACTTTGATTTTCTTTTACTATACATAGAATGGTCGCACTGCGCAGCTTTCTGAGTGCCTTTCAAAAGGAGATAGAAAATTCCGCCATTTTTAACCCTTATTACGTGTTGCCTACATCTTGGCGCAATATTTTTAATAGGTGCGTTTTAATCATGGAGACTACACAAGGAGCACGCACTCCATGTATAACAAGCGTACTGTGTTAAACAGAGTATTTTAAGAGGGCGCTAGTGTTCCATAAGTACCAAAATGGCATAACAGAATGAGGCGGTAGTTTGAAATAAAATAAATAATTCTAATTAATTATTAATTAATTAATTATAACTCTAATTATATTTATTTAATTTAAAAACATTTGACACGTGTTTACGTTAATTAAATAATCGGTTACTTTATTTTCACGCTAACTTCACAGTTGTTTATTCCTCTATATTTACACCGGTACAAAAGAAAAATTAGCGACGCTAGTGGTGAAAAAAGAAAGCTTTATACGATAAAGCGCGGACATACTCTGGCAAATGCCACACTTGAGTGCGTGCTCCTTGTGTAGTCTCCATGGTTTTAATCATCCGCTTCTGATTCGGAATTGTCAGTTTTCTTGTTTTAATCTGACAGGTTAAAACGACTAAACCGACAATTCCGAAAGCAGAAGCGGATGATTAAAACGCACCCACTCGAGGGATTCAAATTCAGGATACGCAGAAGACTGCTGTTATATTATGGGCGGTTGTCATATATTGTATCATCCGAGTTGCACAGTGTATAAACTGAAACATTGAGATCCAAAGTGCCGACGCAGAGTGAGCGATCTGATTCTTTAGCTGTAAACTGTATCACAGGGTTCAAAATGGCCGCGCCCTATGTTGGGCATATTGGACCTCTCTCTTGCCTCGTATAGTAATCAAAGTATGTGATGGTTACCAAGAATTCCAGTTTTAAATAAAATCCAGATTAATAATTGACAGAATCGATTAGGTATTTTTATGAATCGAATACTTACATGTTTGATTTTACTGTCTGCTTTAATCTCATCTCACACAATTATAGTTATGAAAAATATTTGGTAACTATTGCGAAGACGCCCTTTTCTTAAAAATACAAATTTTTTTACGAAACTTACATTTTAGGCTTTAAAAAGGAGCGTATTTTTAAAATATACCACCGGAAACTACATAATTTAACGTTTTTAAAAAAAAAATTGCATATTAAAGGCTTTCGAGGATCATTAACTGATCAATTATGTAAACTCATTCATTAGAATTTAGAATTATATCTGTCATGTTCTCAATTAGGCATTCCAACGACCTGTCAAACATTATGTGCCAGTGGGAAATTCTTGTATATCTAAGGGGGTAGCGACATAGTTTTGCAACTTGGACGCTATTTTTATTCGAAGTAGTAGTCGCCAAGCCTGTCAATTTATGAAGAAATGTATCATGGTATAAAAAATGAAAGGTAGGATATCAACAGTGTCAAAAATAGGACGGTCACGCGCATAACGTCACGCGTAGAGTTTGTATAGGCGCGAATTTAAAAATACCGACGAAATGTGAGGAAAATATATGCTAATTACAGAAATTTGATGAATATTAAGGATAATATTTGAAAAATTACATGACATATCTATGGATATTATTATGGGATAGTTGAAGAAAGAACTATGAAGGAACATAAATCCAACTACATAAAAATAGTACATTATATACCTAGGGTGAGAAGTGAGCTATTATTTACCGAGCACTTTTATATCCTGAGGCGCGTAGCGCCGAGGGATATAATGTGCGAGGTAAATAATAGCTTTCTCAGCCGAGGTATATATAGAATTTTTTTTACTACTAACATTAATGTATTAGC